AGCTCTGTAAAAAAGAGCAGTGTATTTTGAATAAATTGGAGTTTTACTCTCAGCAGCCTTCTGAGTCAGAGTCTATTCATTCCTGTCCTGCCTCGACAGCGACACTATGGTGTTGGGGAAGGAAGACAGCAAACACCACCTTGCCAGCTTTGTGAGGGAAAGCAGTGAAGACAGTGATATGATGGTCTGACTGCTTCCAGTTTCACCCTGTGAGATCACAGGCATTCATCAGCTGTGAAGACAACAACTTGGAAAACGCGCATGGAGACAGAACAAGCAGCTGCAACCAAAACCTTCAGGATGGCCCTTATTGATCAGGGGAAGAAAGCCAAAGAGATATCAAACTCCTCCAAATTTTACTCCCTAAGTTCTGTGGGGCCCCATTGGCCTTTGTACTCCAGCCTGAACCAGTCAGAAAACCAAAGCCTTGTGACTTATGAGGCAAATCACTACCCAGGTGAAACCTCCCATAAAGGATATTGGGCACTTCCAGTTAACTGCTTGGCACCTCTCCACAGAGTAAAATAAAGCCCATGGAAAATATTTTGTGGAATACATTCAGGTGATGAATTATGGAAACGAATTGGCTCATGAACGCTGCAAATGCAAATAGAGAGGCTAAATTTATCAGATGAATTATCCATTTGATACTGGATTACTTGCTGAGGGCTAACTTATGACTCCTTTGCTCAAGCAGAGGATTGCTCCAGCCCCAGTGCAGTCTGCCATAGTAAGCAGAGAGAGCAATGCCTCTCAATACCAGTACAGAAATGACACCCACTGCTTAGGAGTTCGCTCACGTATTAGTGCAGAGATTGGCCTTTTCAATACAAAGGCCTTCATTCAGCCATTTAGACAGTTTCCAATTTGATTCCAAGCCTGGGAGATCTCTTAACAATGAATTTCCTCTGCAATTGTAATATATTTGCACAATTTATGCACAAGCGGGATGCTGTGCACCCTCCTGAAGTAATAGGAGAATTATTATAAGGCAGTAGCTCTCATCCATATGGTTTGGGTAGGGGAAACTGTGTTTTCATCAACCAGGATGAAAGCAGAAAATGCATTAAATATCATAGCCTGTAACAGAGGGGAGAAAAGGTTTTCTCAAGATGAAGCAATCTCTCTCTCTTTTTCCTAACATCAACTGATAACGGCTCAAAAATGAAACAAACAAACAAAAAACTCCCCAACAACAACAAACTCCTGGGCTCAGCATCCTTTCATTAGCTCTAAAAGGACATGAGTCCAAAAGCATGCACCTTCCATCTATAAACTGGCTTTGTGAAAGTCCTTTTGCAAATGTCCTTTCTCTAAAAATTTTTGCAATGTTTTAGTGAAGTAATTTTGTTACTCAGTTTAAAGTACCAAGAAGTAACATAACATTGGATGCTGCAGCTTCACAGGGCATTCCTTTTATAGCACTATTTCTAAAAAACATTTTCAGAAAAAAAAAAAAATGTTTTTCCTCTCCAATCCATTGGTAACAGGTGGTAGATTTAGAAATACTTTAAGCATTACAATTGAAGATAAACCGTTTAGAATATATGACAGCCACCATGAAAAATAAGCATTTGCCAAAGGTCCTTACAAGATTATCTGTCTGACATATTAAGTAGCTTTATGTACACAGAATACAGGAGGAAAAGAAAAAAGGTATCTTTGTTCCAACTGGCAACTGTTTACAAATGCTCTTAATTTTCCTCCTATGTATAGAATCTTAGAAGTATGTATCACTCCAAGGTAAATGTTGGCAAATCTCACTTTTCAAGGGGGATTCATTTTTCTGGTAAGTCTTATAAATATGTTTAGTTAGCAAGAAAAGTAATGTCTGGACTCCAGAGAGTTCCATTAGGAAAAACAATGCATTCCAAAAGAAAAAAGTATCTAAGTAGCAGTTCCTTTCCCAGAAAACTCACTTGTACTACTACTAGCAATGAATCCAGCAATGTAAAAGCTACACATATGAGCCAGAACCGCAGGCAAAGATATTTTATTTTTCTGAAAGACATTCTCTCAGTTTAAGCCAAAGGAATGTTCCAACAGAGGTAAAGGGAGAATAGCTGGGCTATGTCATTGCACAAAGAGATAGGACTCAATTCATAAAAAGAAAAAAACCCCATCACTGTGGCAATGCTTAATATATTTAAACAGTGATCCATCTTAAGCAAATGAACTTGTTCTTTCTACTTCTCTTTTCTTACTAGAATATACAAAATCTTCTCAGCAAATACCCTGAGGATCAATAGGAAATTCTGCCTTGACAAGGACCCTTTACTTAACCAAACCAGGACTTTTCTGGACAGCACTGGAATGAGAACCTATGTCTGAATCAAAGATAAGTGGTGCTCTGCTCTCTCTTGGAGCATGCTGGCTCTGGATTGGGTTCTGTAATCACTGAGATTGAATTAGAAATGCTGAGACAGTTACAATTGCTCAGTTACTGCACAGCTTTCCTGCACTGCTAAGACATGACATTACTTCAAAGTCTGTCTCTTCCCTCCATATATTTAAAGTTTGAAAATGACAAGACTCTTGGCAGTTGTCTTGATATCAATATTATTACTTGACTAATTTCTTCGGCATTCCACTTGCAAAATAGGCCTAATGATATGTTCAACTAATGGAACGATTTCCCTATATCTATATTCCACTTACTCTAATGCACTGAGGTGTAATTCTAGCTTCATTTCATTACCACTTTCATTACCTAGCTCAAGCACTTGCATGTCTTTTTGGATTTATTAATGCAGTGGGTTTAAAGTAATAATTATTTATGTATATAACTCTATGAATATATTCTTCTTTCTAAGCATTTTTGTCCACATCTATTAAAGTAGATATATTTCATAATATTTCTGAATACAAGATGAACTTTTAAAATGTCTTGATGCTTTTTCTCTAAGCTTAAAGCAATACCTCAGTGTTATTCTCTCCTGTGAGTGTTTAGATAGTGTCCTAACAATTTGAATTTACAGCAAGTCTGTCCTTAAAGACTTTAATTTCACTAAATTAATAGATTTCCTTTAAACCAAAACAAAACCACCAATTTCATTAATTTCTTCCACAGTAAAAATATCAGGAATTTACTGCCAAAGGTAGAGGCAGCTGCTAACTCCTTGACACAGAACCATGTTAGCTAAGTCTTCTGTGCAGGAAACCAGTCCTGCAGAGAGATGGGATTTCTCTACAGTGAGATTTTATTAATCTAATCCTACAATAATCTATCTGAATTTCAGATACTGAGAACTAAACTTTTTCTGGACAGTTGTAAATTTTGGATTAACCTTTTTTATAGCCACATATGCAGAACACTGGATTTAGAGGGTCCCTAACATGATCACCTGTCTGTGGTCACATATCAGAATCCAAATTTTTGTTTGAGAAAAAACCCCATAAAACCTTTGCATAGATGAGAATAAACATACTTTTAAAGCTACAGTATGGCAGATCATCTACATAACGGGGTGAAATGAAATTATATGTTTTTCTATAACAAAAGAGCCAGCTGCACAGGTTCTTTGAAGACAGGACTTCAATAATGTCAGGTTTTAAAAAAATCCATTTAAAATAAATCTTCCACTTTGCTGTCTTTCTGCCTTTAGGCTTGTCATGATACAGCTCTGAAGCATCTTCTTGTGTCTCAAACTTTCAAACCCAGGTGGGTTTTACATTTATATAAATAATACCAGGTTTTACAGCACAATTTCCATGGCCTTAGAGATGAAAGTGAGCATTAATGATCTTGATTTGTTGACAAATTGATGCTATATATTATTTTCTTACTTAATCTGAAGGGCAGTAACACAGCCAGCAACAGTAGGCAGGGTACTGCCACTTTATCCTTTGGGTTAGTCATGCTGACAAAAAGTAAAATCACTCAATGACTGGATTAGATATGAATGCAGCTTCTTGAAATGCATGTTATGTATGCTTCAGACAAGAATATTATTAAGTGGTTAGACATCATTTGATGCTACCTGAATAATTCAATAGGTCTTTAAGTTTCAGCTGCCAATCACTGCGAACTGGTGATTACAAAGTCATCTACAAAAAAGCATTGTTCTAGTGAGATGAGACCAAAATATCACAATTTCCATGCTACCAGACAAAGCAAAAGGAAAAAAGCCACTAAGGCTACAGTGACAACAGAGTCCTGTGAAATTAATGGAACTCTGTTCACACCAATTACTCCACGACCATTTCCACTAGGACAGCATGGGGAGTATTGGGAGATAAACCACTAAACTCTGGATCTTTTCACACACAGTTGGACTGATGTAAGCACAAAGCAAAATAAAATGGGAGGAATTTTAGGGTTGCTAAAATTACAGAGAGCAGATTTCTAATAACGTAGGATAAAAATAAATCACAGGTTTGTAGGAGGAGGGGGATTAGCAAATTTGCTATCCACCAGGTTTCCTTAAATCTAGAAAGCAACCTCCTGTGTGGAATTCAAGATGAATGGCTAACATTTCCCAAGTGCTCCAATGAGAGCCATTTTTCTCCCACTCATTCTTACACTTGGACAGCGCAAGTTTAAAGTCCTCATTGAGACCCAGTTGGACTCTAACCCCTGCAGTATCTTTTCAGACCCAGAGGAACCTTTCCATCATTGTTAATGAAAGACCAAAGTCTGTAAAAAGTGTATAGAAAAGCAATATACGTGTATATATGAGCTATATACATTAGTGCAAATAATTTCCTTCTCAAGAGTCAGGTGAGCCATGCACCAAGTTTTGGGAAAAGATACACATATAGCATGGAATGAAGAGATTAGCTGTGCTGAGCATGCAAAAGTAGTATTAGATGTAGCTTAAATGGTTCACACATTTTAAATATCTGCATTTGTCTAGGATCAGAGCCTCTATGTGCAGCTGATCTTTAAAGAAAATTCATATTTTCAGTATTTGGCTTTGGAAAGAAGAAAATATGTCAACTGTTGCATTTTTTTCTGCATGCTTTTTTAAAGTCAAATGGTGCTTGATTACTGTACCTACCTAGAGGGAAAAACTCGCCCATTTTCTTCTTGAAAATTTTGTAGTCAACCTCCAAAAAGACGCAGAAGATGATACGATCCACCTGTAAGAAACAAAACGATTCACAGTGAAAGCATCACAATCATCCATATTGGCAACAATAGTCAATAAAGACAAAGAAACTTTTAAGCCAATGTGCTTTTATGCTTCAGGCAAACAAGAAAACAGGGCTGCACATCTTGACTTTATTGTACATCTGTGTTGTAATTTATAATATAACCTTTGCAATCACAGCTCACAACTGTATTCTTTGTTAACTGCCTCTTGTTTATGCAAACTGCTCTCAAGCACAGTATAAATGACTTTGGCATTCCAGATGAGAACTGGGATGCAATGTTTGATGAAAAAGTCATGTGGGGACTTCTAATAAGCATACAGAAGAGTAAATGGGTAAGTAAGGAGCTTTTTTTCCAATCCTTGTCTGACAAACCTATTTGCAAACCCATTTAGTATTTTAAAATGGCTTTAAGAGGTTTCATGTGGTTTTAATTTACATGAAACCACTTATTCTCACTGTAATACAAATAGAATGCAGCAGAAACACAAAAGCTGATTAGATGACAGGTAGCACACAGGGTAAATAAAACATTTAATATGCCATCTACTTAGCGGGGCTGAGCATATCAATGAAACCACAGCCCATAATGTATGCACCACCCACCACTAAGTTCAAATAAATTCTTTTGGGAGATCACTGTATGTGAATAGCTTTTCTGAAACAGACCAAAAATAATTAAAAAGCTAAATAAAACAAAACTACGAAATCTAAAGCCTTTAAGGCTGAAAACCACCCAGACTGGACTTTAGCCTTGCAATACCTTTGTGTTATTTATTTGCATTTCCCAGCACAAAATGCCTCTGTAGCTGAAACCCAGCTTGGAGGGGCTGGGGAAAACAAAAAGACCCTCTTACAGCTGAGCTGAGGGACCTGCAACCCAGCAATCATTTGTTTCTGAGATGTGCATAAGAGGCTAACCACAATGAGATAAGGCCCAAGCAATAGGAAACTTGGCATCTTATGCTGCCACAGTGTCTCCACAGGCAATAGGACAAGCTGTCACAGCAGAACTCCTCAAGAGTGCCTTTGCATGTGCTGGAAGGACCATAAGCCTCCCTCCTGCAGGGAAACAGTGAGAGGAATGCTCTCAAGATGTAAATTCTTTCCCTTATCTTCAGTAGAAAATGCTGTCCTTTTGCTGCAGCTGGTCTTAGAAGTGAAGTCCAAGCCTTCAAAGATACCATTATGCTGAACAGCTCAGGATGTCATTTTTGAGCTCACTTTGGCACAGCCTGGTAGGATCCAGAAGGGAATGAGAGCAGGCAAGCACTGGTTATGCTGGAAAATACCAGCAGCTACTAACCAGGACATCTCAGAGCAAAATGTGATGACAAAACCTTGGCTGGGATGATGTCACCTGAACGATCAGACTGGCTATGTAACATCACAACTAGCAATAGCACAAGGGGTAAGGGCCTCAAGTTGCACCAAGGGAGGTTCAGGTTCAACATTTGGAAAAATTTCTTCATTGGAAGAGTGGTTAAGCACCAGAACAGGTTCCCCAGGGATCTGGTGGAGGTCCCATCCCTAGAAATGATAAAAAAATGAGTATATGTGGCACTTTACACCATGGGTTAGTGGGAAAAGTTGAATTCATTCAAAAGTTGAACATGAGGACCCTGGAGATCTCCAAGGTTACTGATTCTATGACACTCTATGAGACTGAAGGTGCAAGTTATGCTGGTGTTAAGGAAGAAGGAGGCTCGTGAGCAGGAGAGAAAGCAGCAGAGCAGGGAAGCCTATCAGCAGATTTTTCAGCAAGAAAACTGCCTGCTGCTGTCTGCTCATATAATGCCTACAGAGCCAAGCTGTTCTGTGCATCCCTCGTAAACAAACCAGGCTGGATCTTAAAAATATTCTGGACCATGGCATCAGCTATTCTTATAAAGGGATATAATAAAAAACTCAAATACTAGTTATGGGCTCAAGCCAAAAAGCCATACTCATCTCCCCACTCACAAATTCATAATGTAAAGCATCATTGCCAAGAAGTGTTACATTTTGCCTACATGAGATTTGACATGAATTTAAGGTCCCTACCAACCCAAATTATTCTATAATTCTATGGTTCTGCCTAAGGTGGATGCCTTCAGGAGGGAGGCTTTAATCAGCAAGTGCTTTCTTGTGAAAATTTGATTAGGATATTGCTGGGGTGTTGCTAGATTGTCATCTTCTCTCTCTGCCTTGCAGATTTTCAAGCATTAAAAGTGATAGGCCCAATGAACCAGAACAGATAAAAGAGCAAGGACAGAAATGTATAAAGCAGAGGAGGAAGGATATTCCTATACAGAGAAGTTTCTGAGTCTCTATATAGTCCCATATCCTCTGCTGAAAATGTTACAGAAATTTGCCTCATTCTGTATACTCCAACTTCTCAAGATGTTCCCTTTTTATTTATTCAGTGCAGCTTGCAATAATAAAACTTCTCCATGAGAATTTCTACTACTTCTAATATGATTCCTTAATTTAAATAGGGAATCTCTCTAGAATTGGCAGACTATTTCAAAATTTCTAGCCTCCTGACTGTACACATCCTATATATAAACCCATTCCATTTCTTCTTGATGTGTGAAAAACTGCTCTATTTTTAAGTATGCATAAGATATTGTGATGACAGCTGAAATCCTGTATTTATCTGATTGCATGGCATGTGTTGGCAGATAGTAAATCTGAAATTAACCCCTATTCTATCACTCTGCCAGTTATTGGCTATTTTATCTAACATCCCAAGCTAAAATAACTTGAGATTTCATAGGGAAAGTAATCTTGTCCTCACTATGCCCATTCCAGCTACAATAAGGAAAGGATTAATCCAAGTGACTATCAACCTGCTTTTCCTGCTGGCCCACAAAAGCTCAGCAGGATTTTTGGGACACATAGTTTGGAAATCCACTTCTTATTCAACAAGGAAATCTCTTCTCTCATGTGGCCTGGACATGCCAGCTTCATTAGAGCGTCACACCACCCCTTTAGAGAGGCTCAGGAATAGCCCCTGTGGGTTCCTGATATGCCCAGATGAGACCCCAGTGCCTTTTGCAGGAGCCCAGCTCCTCCACTGCTGCCCAAGCACCACTCAACTGCAGCAGAACTGTAAAGGAGTTCCAGGTTGAAGGTATTAAAGCTCATCCATGATTGACAGCTCTTTTTTTGAAGGCTGGTGTTAAAATCAACCATGCCCTGTCGGAGCCTGATTAAATTCTGCTCGCTTTGCAGCTATGAATAGATGGATCAAAGAACCCCAAAATCAAGAGCACTGCAGCACAGGGAGAAGGGAGTTAAAATGCATGAGCTGTTCACTTAGGCACCTTCACAGCTCAAGGCTGTGAGTACATTTGATTGTTTTGGTTTTTTTTTTTTTTTTTTTTTTTTTTACCTTGGGCCCTGCTTTCCTTGCCGTATTTAATTTTGATGGGAATAGCTTCCAGGTGGTTTTGTTAGCAGCACCTGATAAGAATTAGTAAACTTGTGAAGGGGTTACAGGACTCAGGCTATCTTTTTAGAATCACAGAATGGTTTGGGTTGGAAGTAACCTCAAAGATAATCCAGTTCCAATTCCCCCTTCATGGGCAAGAACACCTTCCACCAGACCTGATTCCTCCAAGCCCCACTCAGACTGGCCTTGGACACATTTTTTTGCACTAGAATGGACCCTAACACCAGAGTTTTAGAAGGACACAGCCATATCTCATGAACTGAAAATATCTTCACTAGTGTTTTCAATTAATGTGATATGGATATAAAAGCACAGTTGGTCTAATAGCAGCACTGATCTTAGTGCAAAGAAAATAACAAAGAAGTTTCTTCCTGGTTTTTGATATTTGGGCTTTTGTTAGTTGATAACTTTGGGAGCACTTCACATGTGAGTTTTCAATTTATTGGTGAGTTCACTCACAGACAACTGATGGTCTACGAGAGCTCCATGGAAGGCTGGGCAGGTGGGTGCTCAAGGACATGTACAGGAATGATGGAAAGCTGCTGAGGGTCCCTTAAACTTATCCTAAAGGTCCCTGCCCTCTCCTGCAGTGTGTGGGAGGACACCGCATGTTTACATGCACATCTCTGCATGCAGGTGCTGCTATAGTAGGAATTTACAGCTATATCTGTATAATAAAGATAGCAATTCCTTACATGGCATACAGAGAGAGGATAAAGGGGAATGGTTTTAAACTAAAGGAGAAGAGATTAAGATTAGTTGTTAGGAAGAAATTCCTTACAATGAGGGTAGTGAGGTCCTGGCCCAGGTGTTGCCCAGAGAAGCTGAGGCTGCCCCATCCCTGGAAGTGTTTATGACCAGGCTGGATGGGCTCTGAGTAACCTGGTCTAGTGGAAGGTGTTCCTGGCCCTGGCAGGGGGCTGAAATGAGATGAATTTTAAGGTCCCTTCCAAACCAAGCCTGTCTGTGATTCTCTATATATTTAGCATCAAAGATATATCTATGTTTTTATCTCAGCTCTTTTGCTGTGGTTTCAGGCAGGCTGTGTGATTCCTCTAGCTTCATTTCTCTGTCTGGGGACAGGAACACCTGGCTGTGCACCTAAACATTGCTTTAAAGAGTTACTGCCAAGCAAAATCCACAGGACATGCCAAATGCTTTCATTGGTATAGCTGTATGCATACCCAAGTAACGAGCTGGATATATCAAACACAGATCTGAAGCAAAACACTGATCAAAAGGCTTTCTAGACTATTTTATATAATGAGTGTTTTCATGTCATTGCCACCCCATGTCCTAACAAAATAACAGCTTGCAATGAAAACAAACCTAAGCACTCCCAAGTATTTCATGCATGTCTCCAGCACCAAGACATTTACCTAGCAGGAAGTGACTGCTTTTTATATGCATCAAAAAGTTTCATCATCACGTAAATCTTACCAGAAAATACACAATAGAAAAACAATGAGAACTTGCATAAAATGTTTCCCAATCCTACATCAAATGAATGATAACACAGCACAAAGAGAAGGCAGCAGCTTTTTGTTCTTTG